TGAAAAGATCCACTTTGGGCATTATAGTATTGTGAGAAAGCTGGGAAGGCATAGAATTGCCAACAACATGGAATGCATCTGAAATCAATTCCAATTTAGTACGTCTGAAAAGTTGTTGTTTGGATAAATGGATGAAGGAATGCAGTGTAAGTTCCCTTAAGCTCCTAGAGCAGGGCTGTCAAACTTGCAGCCCATGGGCCAGATGCATCACGCACTTGCCACACCCATGCCCAGTTTAGTGAAGGGGGAAAAAGTCATGATATATCATGTGGTGCTGCCATGACGATGCTAGTTTGACACCCCTTTCCTAGAGGAATAAAGAATAAGGAATAAGGAATAAGTAGGGGGCATGCATAAGCACACCAACGTGCCTACCATCCCTGTCCTATTGTTTAATTTATTTTTCTTACATGTATCCATGTATTCATAACTATGTTTTTACTTATACCTTTAATATTGAAAGCAATTGACAAACCAAATAAAATAAATTAATTAATTAATAAATATCTAATTAAACAATTAATTCAAGTAGTAGATGGTTCAAAAACTATGTGTCACACTCCTCTCAGTTCTTTTATGAGAGATTGCCAAGCCTATTCTAGAATTCTTGAGTTTAGTCCCATGAATTACTATGGAGTAAGATTAACTACTTCCTAAAGGAGATTCTCTAACTTTTATTAAAACAATTAACTGGATTTAAATACCTCTTTCTACATGTTCTTAGTTTATTGGTTTGGTTTTCAGTTTTATCTTTTCATTACGTTTTTACACTATAAAAGTGATGGAAACTAAAATGTCTTTTGAAGCACCGTACATAATTAATTAAATTAAATATTTCATACAAGGGTTCCTTATACTGCTTTTCAGACCATCATTGTTCCCATAATGTGGTATACAATACTTTGTTTTGCAGCCTCATTGTATTTGCACTTAAATGTTGTTAGTTGAGAAGTCATGTCCAACCCATCGCGACCCCATGGACAACATTCCTCCAGGCCTTCCTGTCCTCTACCATCTTCTGGAGTCCATTTAAGCTCACGCCAACTGCTTCAGTGACTCCATCCAGCCATCTCATTCTCTCTCGTCCCCTTCTTCTTTTGCCCTCAATCATTCCCTGCATTAGGCTCTTCTCCAGTGAGTCCTTCCTTCTCATTACATGGACAAAGTATGTGAGTTTCATCTTCAGGATCTGGCCTTCTAAAGAGCAGTCAGGGTTGATCTCCTCTAGGATTGACCGGTTAGATTGCCTTGCAATCCAAGGGACTCGCAGGAGTCTTCTCCAGCACCATAGTTCAAAGGCCTCAATTCTTTGGTGCTCAATCTTTCTTATGGTCCAACTTTCACAACCATACATTGCAAGTGGGAAAACCATAGCCTTGACTATACACACTTGCACCTAAGTACACATGCCCAATTACTCATCCATCTGGGGGCTTCATATCACACAACATTTCTGAGTATGTAAATTCAAACTCAGCAAATGTGACTAGCAAGTCTTTGTGATAGTAGGGGCTAATAAGCACAGCAAAGCTAATAAGCACAGCCTCATTCCCTCAATACCTGAAGTTTCAACTGAAAGGATTATACCACAGAAAGTCTATTTAGTCTACTGTTTCAGTCCAAGAGAAACAGTTAGTGGTCAGGATCAAAGCAGCAGAAAGTACTTACAGCAAAGTCATTAAGCAAAAGCACTGTCAATATTCCAAGGAAATGGGATAACTTTGGCATTTAAGGTCGTAAAGATTCTATTTCTGGCAAAGATCAAAGTTTTCAAGGTCAGAATAAAGAAATGTTCTAACATTTAACTGATGTCAAGTAAAGATATTTATATTGAAATCTCCTGTCTCTTACCTGTAAAGAACTAGTGCTAATTAAAATTTATTTTTTTAGAAATTGAGCAAATCCATCATTATTCCCAAGTAAACTACTACTTCCAAGGCATTCTTCATAGAGTCTGGGACCATTTTTTTCTGTCTGCTGTTTGACTCTTAATCCAGTAATATCACTGTTCTTATATGACAAAAAAACTTATCTTGGCACCTGAATGATTGGAGAGTTGATTCAGTAAAAATGGTTGTGCACAATCAGTGTTGGTCTTAACACAGTATAACAAGATGGAAGATTTTTTGTTCAGTTCCTTCGATCCCATTTTCTCAGTGTGGAAAAGAACTTCTTTAGAAGGTCAAAAATGTACATCTTTCAACCTTTTGGACAAAAATAGTTTTCAGAAAGAAAATGTATACAAGGAATAAGGGTGGTGAGCAATCCTTGGAAGTAGAATTGCACCAAAAGATGCTCGAAATAATAACTCTTTAATTGTAGTACACAGACATTTCAAAAAGCAAAATACCTTGAGCCAGTCTTGGGAAGTTTTCAACTATGCCTAAATGTATTTTGAGATATTATTCAGTTAAATAACTCAGTAGCATTAAAGAAAGATGCAACTTAATGGAGTTGGAGTAAACAGCATTGGGAAGACTATTTACATTTTTACAAATACGTATCATCTTCTGACCATGCATAACTGAACTCTTATAATTATTTTAATGTATTAAACAATGTACCTTTTGTGTTGCATTGGCCCCTTGTAAGTGTATCAAAGGGTGTAATAAATAGTATTGTTTTATTTACTTTTTCCTTTACCACCATACAAAAAGATAAATAATGTAGAGTACTGCAGTTGCATAGTCCTGTATAGCAATTTCATCTAATATTCATCTACATAGAATGTCTGAGTTCAAAGCAGAATAATAATCAACAATGGGAAAAGGCCATTTGCTGAAGATACTTCATTGTGGGAAATAAACTAAGAGACTAGATCATTTATTGCACTAAATGTTGCCTTCTATATGTATTGCTACTGCAGTTTTCAGATTTCCTAATGTTTGCATTGTTTGAGAATTCTGGGAGTTACATTCCTGGATGGATGATGAATCAAGACATTCTTCTATATGAATGAGCCAGTTATATCGAAGAGGCCCCAGTAGCAAAAATAAACAAATCTAAGAATAGATCAGTGACCCATCTGGACCAGCATTCTGTCCTATAATGTGGCTACTTTATGTACCTAAACACTAACAAAATAGTGATTGCCTTCTTTCACTTTTGCTCCCTAGCCCTGATGATCTTGCTTAAATAAATTTCATCAGAGTAGACCTTTCAAAAGAGAAAAAAAATGAAGTTACAGCTATGCTTCTGCCAAACAAAACATTATATGAGAAGTCACATATGAACATCTGCTATTATCAATCAAACATTGAAAATTTTGCAATGATTGTATAGCATCCTATATAGTAACTTACTTTTATAAAAAATATTTCAAGTGTGTGAAAAGTATAGAATTATAATAAAAAATACCACAAAAAAACTAAATGAATCTTTAAAAAAAAAACCTCATTACTTGATGCAAGTTTCTTCCAAGAAGAAATCCCTTGCTATTTTATGTTGATATGATAGAACAGTGCAGAAACTGGAAAAATGTACCTCAGATACGAATTAAATACGTTTGTTGTCCTTTCTCTAATTTAATTTAAATTTTTCCCCAATATAAGCATTTTTACATATAGCTTTAAGTTCATTTTGCCAATATCAAGTTATATTTCCTTTTATTATTTCTGAAAGCAATAGTGAAAAAGCGTCTGCAGTTATTTGAAATCCTGTGCAGTAAAACAGATGGCCACATATGATGAAAACCTATATTTCATTTCAAGCCTTTGGCAATGAGAGCATAGATTGAATCCATGCATTGACATTAAAAATTGCCAAGAAGCTAAACTGAGTTTGCAATAGCTCTTCAAAAAATCAATCCTCCCCCCAAAAAAAACCAATCCCCAAACTTTTACCAACAATTTTATGTGATTCAATTCTGAAACCTAAAGACTTACTATAAGTACTCCCCCCAAGCTGGGAGAAAAAAGGGAGTATTTTTCCTTGGTAAGGTAGAAGGAAGGAAGTTGCTGTAGAAATGGGGAAGAACATGGGTTTGAAAAACATTGAAAAATTACTGAGCATCTCAGATGAGAGAGGAAACTATCAACCATTCCTAAAATTAATTTTCTCTGACTGCAAACACAATTTTGGGAAATGCCCTGATGCCATCCTCTTTAGATTAGTATCTGAGATTCATGATTCATCAAAGAAAATCCTGCATTAGACAATGTTTTGCCATTTTTGTTTTCGTTGCCAGTCATGCATTTGGAATAAAATAATGGGAAATAAAGGTAGACACAGACTGGACAACCTGAATGTATTTCCCCAGTAAAGCATACTAAGCCTAGATCTAGCCCAATCTATACCCAATAGGTTGTGAATTTCTGTCTATGGAGATGGACAGGTGATGGCAAAGAAAGATTTAGAATTTTATTTTAAAGCCCATATGCTGCTTTTCTGTTTGAAACCAATGACCAAAGCAGCTAGTGAAAGAGTTACAGCACACAGAAATCAAACCCAGCAGCAATAGAAGAATAACTACAGCAGCAAGAGATCAAATAAAACCAGCAGAAAAACATAAGATACTTTTTATGACCATTCAAAACACTGACTCAAAGACACTAAATAAATAAGTACCGGGTATCCTTCAGCAAATACATCCTGAGAAATTGCAGGCTGATAACGAACTGCCATTTATCAGATTAAAAATGAAGAAGAAAAGTCATCTAAGAATCTGTAGAATTTTTTTCATCTCCTAATTGGTAATAAATACCAACATTGTTCAAAATCCAATGAGCTCATGTTAAATCTCATGTTATTGTGCTCAGAACAGGTGTTCTTAAATCATGCCCAGGAGCATCACAAAACAGCTGCTAAAATTCTTCTACCTCTCTACTCTAAAGAAGGGATTGTGTGGATTAAATCCATCTATGATCATATTAGGTGCTGGAAATAAAAGGATGAATAGCTGAAGATGGCTTCCAGCATTGTCTTCTGCTAAATGACCTCCAGCTGTTGCTGTTATCTGATACCATCAAGTGCTGTTTGACTTTTTTTTAATTCCCATCTAGATAAGTGAAGACAAAAACACAAGAGATGAGAAGGAAATAAAAACTGAGGATTACAGTTATGTCTCTATGATGAGCTCAGATTCTCATTCTAACGGGCTTGGTAAGTTTCTAAAATGGAACATTCCGCTATTCATTTATGATTATATTTTTTTAAAGTTTAATTCTTCTATAATATTGTTGAATATATGCATCAATACAATTTATATGTATTACTTTCCCAGAGATAGAGTCAATATATGGTAGACATTTCTCCACAATATTAATGGACATTCCAAATGTTTTAAATTTCTAAGTGACTTCAAGATTGTGGAAGACACCATGCCTACCTATGCTTACTCAGTTTGTTTGTTTGTTTTCTTGCATTTGTGTAATTAGTGATTGAGTGGTGTGGTAGCCTAGAGATGGAGCTTTTGCCTCACAATCAGGAGGCTGTGAGTTTGATCCTAGGTAGAGGCAGATATTTCTCTCTCTGAGCACACTGAGAATATAACTCCGCATTGGTGACAGGAAGGGCATCTGGCCAGTAAACACTCAGCTCCATTCAGTTGCCCAGACTCCACCCTGCAAGGGATTATGGGGTCATTAAAAGAAGATGATTTGTGTCCATAAAGTGCAGAGTTCTCAGTAATTCACATTTTTCTCCCAATGGCAAAATTTATTCCCGTTAAAGGCTGTAAATTGATAGGTTGGCAACCTAGTCTGTTAAAAATAAACAGGCACAACTGCATAACTTATAGGTTACTCTTGCATTTCTGCTACCGTGCATTCAGAATTGGACAGGATTAGGGTGGGAATAGAATGTTGCATTTCCACAGTCATTTAACATCACGTTTGTCTATGTTGTTTAGAAATGTTACAAACTAATGAGAGCCTTTTCTATTTGTTGATAAATATTTTAAATGTTTCCTCACTGAAGTTAGAGATGTGACAGCTTTCCACTATACCATATTCATTCATGAAAGTTTAATTAGCATTGTGACTGTTTCTCTGTAGAAATCCGTAAGAAAATGTAAAATGCTTCCAGATGGTTATTTTAAATGAAAGAATAATGTATTCTCCCAACATTAACAGGCAGTCCAAGCATAGAAGAACCACCTGGAGCCTGTTTGGAAATCCAGAAGAAGAAAGGGATGAATGCTGATGCAGAACCAAAAGAATATAATGAGGAAGGAATGGTGGAAAAAGAAGAAGGAAATAAATTAGAAAAAAATGCATTTCACTTGAGAAATAGTTGCTACAGCTTGTATAGTAACATACTTAGGGATGTCCCAGAAGCAAAGAGTGAAAACGTCAGCTTCTCAGAGGGACCACCCTTGCCACCTCGAAATCAATTACTTGCCAGTAAACAAAGTGAATCTTTCTACTTGTATACAGGTATAGACTCGTGGTATAACACAAAACATTTATAGCAAAATTGCATAAATATTCAAGATCCCAGCTACATCAGATCAAAACCACATGTATTCCCTCATTCTCTGCTGAACAGAGTCTGATCCAGGAAACTAATTAGCAGACCAGAAAAGTTAGATCATACTCCATGGCAGCTTCCTAATTATTTTACTTTATTTTGATTTGATTTGTCAATCGCTTACAAGATAATAGGTATAAGTATAAACATGAATAAGAATACAGGAAATAGGTACGAATAAATGGGGACAAAAGGATAGGGATGGTAGGCACGATTGTGCACTTATGCACGTCCCTTACAAACCTCAGTACCATTGATGGCCCTATCCCCATTACACTTATTGATATCCCTACAGCAGGGATGTCAAACTCAAGGCCCAGGGGCCAGATCTGGCCTGCGGGGTGCTTAGATCTGGCCTGCGGGGCCATCCTGGAAACAGCAAAGGACCGGCCCGCGATGCCTCTGCCAGCAAAAACAGAGCTTGAGAAGGCCTCGTTTTTACTGGCAGGGGGTTACAGAAGGCCTTCACAGCTGAAAACTGAGCTCTGAAGCCTGTTTTTGCTGTCAGTGTGCTCAGGCCACCACAGGCACCCCCGACACAAGTGATGTCAAGCTAGCCATGCCCACGCTGGCTACACCCACCCTGGCCCCCCAAAGTCAAACACAACCCTGATGCGGCCCTCAATGAAATTGAGTTTGACACCCCTGTTCTATAGGATCCTGAAGGGAATGCTCTTGCATTGGAATAGGAAATAGCTAGCTGTTGTATTTACTGTATAGGAATTCATTCAAATATTCATAAGAATTGCACTGATGCACAATGTATAGTGATACTGGGAACTGAAGAAGTGTCGAGGACAAGCATGACATGATAGACATTAAATGGGTCACCCTGTAATCATGCCCAATTTTGTGGCCCATTTTTTTGCAGCCACAATCATTAAACAAACATTTTTCACAACCCTGTGAGGTGGATTGGTCTAAGAGAGAATGATTGATCTAAAGTGACCCAGTCAGCTTTCAATGGCTAAGACAGGATTTGAACTCATGGTCTCCTGTTTTCAAGGCTGGTGCCTTAACTACTAGACCAAACTAACTCCCTTTGGTCTCTCTAGACCAGGGGTATCAAACCCACATCGTCACGGCAGTGTCATGTGACATATTGGGATTTTTTTTCCCCTTCACTAAACCGGGTGTGGGCATGACCAGCACATGGCGCATCCGGCCCACAGTTGGGATTTTGACAGCTTTGCTCTAGACCAAATATGGTTTCCTCTCAGAGTCTTAAAAGAATCCTATTTCTATAAATTTGTCTGCACAGATGGAAGATAGATTTAAAAGGCTATTGGAAAGAATCTGCCATGGCTTGCTTTAATACCAGATTTGCACATGTCTGCATTGCGCTTGAACAAATTTGGGTGTCATGCAACAACTTGAAGCAGTTACATCCCCAAAATGAAAGCAAATCCCTCTGAACTCCTTCTGAATAAATCAGTCTAATTATACAGTGTTTCCATGAAACATCAGGGTAGTTTCATCTTTGGGAAAGTATCTGTAATTAGTCATCTTTCTCCTTTTTGGGAGAGCAATTTGCAAAACACTCTGCAAAATAGCTGAAATATCAACTGGATTCATCCCTTGCTCTAGATAGATAAATAGATAGATAGATGGATGGATGATAGATAGATAGATAGATAGATAGATAGATAGATAGATAGATAGAT